GTCCGAGGGTAACCTAACTGTTTACAAATACACGCACGTCAGCTCAGTCAGCTGTCTGCTACAATATTTTCGGAACTAAAATGACTAGTGCTTAGAGACAGACCTCTGCAGAAAGCTTAGAATATTACGGACAGAACGATACCTAACTCAATCCAGTACAGTCCGATTCAGTTAGTCATAGAGCCTTCGCCGTAAACAGTGTTCGCGAGTCGCTGCAGCGACGCACGACACTATACAAAGTGCGTTACGCGTCGCTGCAGCGACGCATGACACTCGGAGGGTTAACCCTAGCAGTGGCCAATGTTAGAAGTGGGGAATGGCCAACCCATTTTGGCGATTTTGCAGACCATTTTTTGAAAATTCGTAAAAATTCAACCGTACAAGTAAACCTAGCCAACCTCATATTCATTTTGTTCGGAAAGAACAGGAGAATCTAGAAATAGTAATATCATAATGATTTAGACAGTGTATTTTATCGGTAAAGTGAAAAAAATAAAAAAAATTGAATTTTCTTTTTTGAAATTTCAAAAGCGGCCTCTGCATTTTTTTTCTACGGATTTTTTTATGGGAAATTCATTATATACATTTTGTAGACAATCTAATTCCCTACATAGAAATATATAACATGTTAGGAAAATATTTTTTTTTATAAGTTTTGGGGCGAAATATAATGACAAACGGAGAACCGAAAAAATTGAAAACCGTACAGTGTTAGTTTATGTTGTAAAAAGTTCTATAATATATGTGCATACTAATAATGATATATACATATTTGTAAAGCTAATGAAGTAAGGAATCAAAAAAAGTCATAAAGTTTATGGTAAAAATAATTTTTTACCTATAAACATACGTATATAAAATAATGTTTTTATATTTTAGCGATTTCTCGAGAAAAAAATTCACAGTACTTAGTATACAACTTTTGTACCAAATTTGTTTACTTCAAACCAACATAATAATCTTGTAGTGTATTCAATTACCTACATAAAAATGTATAACATGTTAGAATTTTTTTTTTTTGTAGGTACGTAATAGGGACATAATAATACAATAACCGCAAAACCGCAAATAAGTGTAAACTATAGCCTACAGTGTTTGCTTGTGTTGTGAAACATTATGTAGGCTGATGATATGTAGCCTACATATTTGTAAAGCTAATGAAGTAAGGAATCCAAAAAAGTCATAAGTATGATGGTAAAAAGTTATTTTCACCTATGATTATGTATCAATTTGAGAACGTTTTGAATTTTTTGCGCATTTCGAGAAAATGGAGTGTACAGTATTTAGTAGCCTATATAATTTTTTTACCAAATTTTTTACACCCAAACCAATATAAACATGTTGTAGTGTATTCATTTACCTTTATAAAAATGTATAACACCTTGGGTAAATCATTATATAGCATATATAGCACCTCTGAATGTCAGAATCGTCATTTTTGAACATGATGCTAACAAAATACAGTAGTAGGCCTATTTAGTATAGGCTATAACTTTTTTACAAAATTTTTTACCCCCAAACCATTATAAACATGTTGTAGTGTATTCATTTACCTTTATAAAAATGTATAACACCTTGGGTATATCATTATATAGGTACAACAATCTCTGAATGTCAGAATCGTCATTTTAGGACATGATGCTAACAACATACAACCTTTTATGAACACTATTTCACACAATTCAGTAATATTTATGCATGAAGATTACTGTTATACACACACACACAACACTTCACTAACACTAACACTACGAACTAATAACATATTTAGTAATAAATCGCGGATAAAACTATTACGGCAACAACACAAACAAACAATGGCAATACAAGACAGCTGACAGACTGTAGCAGTAATGACTCACTTGTCGTCTACATGCGAGCATACAGAAATAACCCTGAGTGCAGGGCTGCCACTCTCTGAATCTAAATTTCTTCCTCTTCAAAATGATATACTATATGACTAGTAATAATAACTTTCACTGTATATAATTCGTATTTTCCATACTGTCACCAGACGACTGTTGGCCATTTGTTAGAAATTTCGAAAACAGCTGTTTTCATAAAATTGTACCGATTGTGCAATCAATATTTAGTTATACATATCACTACCACAATGAAGATAAAATCAATGGCTATCCAGTGGTACCACCCGCAACATCCCAAGACGAAAATTACCCGAGCAGGGTAATGCCAAACAAGACGTGTTTTGCCAGTTCCCAAGTGTCGGCTGCAAAAGTCGTACCGCGCCAAAATTTCATTTGATTTCTAATCGTCGTGACATTGTTATATACCTGCTACAGGGTTTGTTTATGTAATCAAATGAAAGTTCAGAATGTGATCTTTCGAATGGTATATATATTATTCTCATCTGAATTATATCGACCTCCGGACCTCACGCGAAATTAAAAATTTTTTTTTCCAAAATGTTCGAAATTTCACGCTGATTTCAAAAATGATTGTCGTTTTTTTCGGAAACGTCCCGTTTTCCCAGAAAATGGGAAAAACGGGAAAATATTTTTTTGCTCAAAACCCATGTTGTGGGTACTCAAATTGTGCGGAATTTCCTCCTGAACAAGAATATGTAAATTTTATTACGATCGGACCACTATTAAGTAAAATATCACCGAAAAACGGGAAAACGGGGAAATTTTTCTTTGCTTAAAACCCATGTTGTAGGTACTCCTGAACAAGAATATGTAGTTTTTATTACTATCGCTTTTAAGTAAAACATCACCAGACAGGTTACCTAACCTAACATAACCTAACTTATTTTTAGATTAGGTTAGGTTAGGTTAGTTTAGGTTAGGTTAGGATAGGTTAGTTTAGGTTAGGTTAGGTTAATTTAGGTTAGGTTAGGTTGGTTTAGGTTAGGTTGAGTTTCGTTAGGTTAGGTTAGGTTAAGTTTGGTTAGGTTAGGTTGGTTTAGGTTAGGTTGAGTTTCGTTAGGTTAGGTTAAGTTTGGTTAGGTTAGGTTAAGTTAGGTTAGGTTAGTTTAGGTTAGGTTAGGTTAGGTTAAGTTAGGTTAGGTTAGGTTAGTTTAGGTTAGGTTAGGTTAAGTTAGGTTAGGTTAAGTTGGTTTAGGTTAGGTTGAGTTTCGTTAGGTTAGGTTAGGTTAAGTTAGGTTGGGTTAGGTTAGGTTAGGTTAGGTTAAGTTTTGTTAGGTTAGGTTAGGTTAAGTTTGGTTAGGTTAGGTTAGTTTAGTGTAACCTTACTTAACCTAACCTAACCTAACAAAACTTAGGTTAGGTTAGGTAAGTTTATCAATAACATGAGTATTGTAAGTAAACTAACCTAAACTAACCTAACCTAACCAAACTTAACCTAAACTAACCTAACCTAAACTAATCTAACCTAAACTAACCTATCCTAACCTAACCTAAGTTCCTAAGTTAGGTTAGGTTGGGTTAGTTTATCAATAACATGAGTATTGTAAGTAAACTAACCTAAACTAACCTAACCTAACCAAACTAACCTAACCAAACTTAACCTTACCTAACCTAACGAAACTCAAACTAACCTAAACCAACCTAACTTTACTTAACCTAACCTAACCTAAACTAACCTAACCTAACCTAACTTAACCTAACCTAACCAAACTTAACCTAACCTAACCTTACGAAACTCAACCTAACCTAAACCAACCTAACTTAACCTAACCTTACCTAAACTAACCAATCCTAACCTAACCTAACCTAAACCTAAGTTGGGTTATGTTAGGTTGGGTAACCTGTCTGGTGATGTTTTACTTAAAAGCGATCGTAATAAAAACTACATATTCTTGTTCAGGAGTACCTACAACATGGGTTTTAAGCAAAGAAAAATTTCCCCGTTTTCCCGTTTTTCGGTGATATTTTACTTAATAGTGGTCCGATCGTAATAAAATTTACATATTCTTGTTCAGGAGGAAATTCCGCACAATTTGAGTACCCACAACATGGGTTTTGAGCAAAAAAATATTTTCCCGTTTTTCCCATTTTCTGGGAAAACGGGACGTTTCCGAAAAAAACGACAATCATTTTTGAAATCAGCGTGAAATTTCGAACATTTTGGAAAAAAAAAATTTTAATTTCGCGTGAGGTCCGGAGGTCGATATAATTACCAGTTGATTGTAAGTGTTTTTTTTACCGTTAAAAAAATTTCGGCCCATACCGTCACCAGACGACATTGGCCATTCTAAGCATCAACGTCATACCGTCACCAGGCGACGGTTGGCCACTGCTAGGGTTAAAACAGCCGTAATATTTGAGAGCGCGGAAAAATTTTTGCACCGTTATTTTCAGCTAAAAATCTAGTTTCTAGTGATAAACTATAAATCTAAACTATAAAACTAGCTATAATAAATCTAGGCCTATATAGGTTCCCATGGTCACGTTCGTCGCAATACCAACAAATCAAATAATGGCAACACATCCAAGAAGAGATGATTGAATGATGTAACTTACTGTATTGAAAATAAATGCATAGCCTTGGGTTAGGCCTATAAGATTGGTCAAGAGAATATGCTAAACTTATCTTAAGTATAAGTAAAATTACATGTAATTGGAGGGTGTTAGGGCAATAGTGATGTTCATAAGTACCTAAGTCTATCTAACGCACAGAGTGGATGAGCCTAATACTGTACTCTGTAAAGCAATTCCGTTTCTCGAGTAGATATTAAGCTCCTGTTAGGGGTAGGCCTAAGAGTAAGTTACCAAGGTCATTAGGCCTACTGGTCATCAAAGAAAAACATGGACTGCACTCAACACTCAATTAAAAAATCCTAGAAGCAAAACAAGACGCTTGAATCAAAGACTAATTAAGTTATCCTGAATGTGTCTCGGGGTACAATTTCTTAACTGGGCTATGCTAATATCGATTGTTTCTCGAGGCTAGCTAGATTTGAAATATGCATTTAAAGATTATCGACATTATGCCTAAGTTAGGCTAGAGGTGTAAAGATTATACATAACAAACATAATGAAGATACCAACAATTCATCAACCCATGCAATGTATTCTTACCTCAAAATATGTATAAATGTACCCAAATGATTGGGACGAAAGATTTGTTGATAACAAGATCTGAAATAAATTGCTTTAGATAAAATCAGCGTCTAACTCACAAACACTGGCTAGTGGCTACTCCATTTTCTTTTCTTTGTTCATTCATTCCATTCCAATTCCATTCCATTCCATTTCATTATCGCACCGAAGTCGAACAGTGTTGCCACCCTGGACCATTGAGATATAGATTATAACATATAATAATAAGAATCTCTAACAAAGACATCTGAATTTTAGCATAGATTAAATTCTACCCATTCTGTTGGACTTAAAGGTAGCCGTGGTTGTAACCACGGCCGCCTTTAACTACAGGCCGCGGCCTTGTAGAATTGGCAACGTTGCAAGTGGTGCTGTCCAGCCCTGAAAGTCCCATAAGATAACATGGAAAGCGAGTGACACCAGCTCAGTAATTTACGGATTATTTATTTAAATGTAAATGTATGATCATAAATCCATTAAAATATTTAATATAAAACATATAGTGTTCTAAACCAAAACGATTTTAATTGAAAATCTATTCCTACATTCAAACCGAAGTCGTTTTTTATAGCCCTAACCTACTAGCCCAGTGACCAATCGTCCAATGTCCTACTCCTCTAGCCTATCCTATTCTAAAAAATTCTCATTTCAAAACTAGGTAAGTTAAGCCCGGTTTCAGCCTTGTAGTTCAAAATAATTTATCTTCTCGCAACTCTGATTGTCTGTTGGTTAGTAGGCTAGTTAAAGGAAAATGCAAGATTTACTTGACAGAAAGCAGGGCCGTCCAGAAAGCTCACTATAACTTAGTAGCCTAGTAAACAAAAATTCTGATAAGGTTATACCAGCGAACACATAACAAAATAGAAGCGCTACTCGGAGCGGAGGAGCGTGGCAGTCTGACTAGCCGACGAAACGGACAAAGATGGCGGCGCTAGCCTAGTCCCGGCGTCAGCAACGCGCTGGTCGTCTGCTATGCTTCGAGTCAGTGTTGAGTGAAAATTTAAAAACGTACGTTTTCATGTCCCTGGCCTTTTACTTCGTAGATACTGGATTTGTAGTTTATTATTATGTGTTTTAATATTTTTTAGGACGGGGGCAACATGTTACACACATTTATTTGGTTTTAAATAGGTTCTAGGTATTTTTTTCGTATTTTTAAAGTCTCGAAATTCACGACCATGACGTGTCCCTAGGGTACATTTTCCAACTTTCACGCTGTTTTTAGACTAATTATTCTTGCCGAAATATATAAAGCCATATTTTTATGTCATCAATGGTTATTAAACTTACAAAAAAGGAGCATATTATAATTTTATTGTCATTACAAACTGACTACCATGACAAAATAAGTCTGTCCCTCGATTTGGCATCACGACCATTTGGGAAAAATTTTCCACTTTGGAGCACGGCAGTGGCAAGCCTGGCGTCGATGGAGTCAGTTGGTTTTAGAGACTAGTCGGGGTGTACGTCAGGATTGTAGTGCCGGTCGTTTTTAGTTGAAAGTAGGAATTACAAGATTAATAAAGGAAAGATTGTGTTTTTTGTAATTTTGGTGTGTCCATGACCGTACATAGTCATTCGATGAAGTAGACATGGTGTTAATTTTTGTTAATAAGATATTTCAATTGCTAGATTAACCTAGAAGTCCACTTTGTATCCTCGAACATGAGGTGCAGGGCTACCGCCAGAACAGAGCCAAATAACTCGTAATTTCACGACCAAAGTTTCACGACCATCGCGGGTTTTTTCACGACCAATCCAGCCTTATGGATTATAGTGTGTTTGGTCGTGACAATAACTTTAATATAATTGTAAATTGAACAGTTTAGTGCAATTGAAACACATATTTTTATTATAACTAACAGGATAATTGAAGGATTGTTTAGAAAGATTTAGATTATTCCAGACAATTCACGACCGTACCGCTTGTCCCTGACCATCACGTTTATGATTTCTATCATAAAAATTTCTAAAATTAAAATATCGTCATATTTCAATGTTTTATATACAAAAGAAGCACACCTCTATACAAACATAACAACTTTTCGGGTCTCAGGTAAGTTTTTTCGGAGTTATACAAACTTAAAAAGATTTTATTGGCTTTTTTTAAATTTTTTGAGTTTTTTATTTTTTTCTAGAAAGACCAAATATACCAAAAGCTCAGTGACCTTTTTATTGTATAATGGTCATACAAATAAATTAGTTTATAGCAAAACATAGTTATAAAAATAATATTAACTATTTTTAATATTCATTTAAACGTTCGTTATGGTCGTGACAGTATTTTGTGTTTTTCCACTCAAGATGCTCTTTTAAAAAGAAACTACCAAACATATTGCGTTACCATGGACATTTTATGAAACTTCAAATGTTAATGAAATAAAAAAAATAATAAAAGTTTTGAAAAAAAGGGAAAAAAATTTGCAAAGTGCTTTTCCTGAAAACGTACGTTTTTAAATTTTCACTCTGTTGTTTACATAGGCTTTGTTTAAATGTAAAAATACTTTTGTATAAAAATTACTTAGGTTTTTCTGGAAGTACATTGTCGTATTAGTATATTGTTGGAAATGTCTTAAAGTAAATCGATTGTTTTTACCGTAGTAAATCGATTTTTTTTATCGCGGGAGAAATTTTTGTTTACAAATATATATCTGTTTAAAAAACATCTTTGTTCACATTATAAATCTGTCATATTAGTGTTATTTTATTTCTTGTGTCACGACAAACACGATGGCATTTTGAACGACATTTTTAGCGTCTTATTAACGATGTTAGCATACGTTTTAAAAATAAACATCACCATAAAGACTATTGTGAGTAAAAATTTTAAAATGCATGGAACTGTTAACAATAAACCTACCAATAAGCCATAACAATTTCACAAATATTGGCTGAGTAGTTTGTTTACAATTAAATTTTAAACTTCAGTGTTAGTGCAGAGTTTCTTAAAAATCGGTACTTTTTAGGATCTTTCAACTATATAAATTTTTCTAGTAAACGGGATTTATTTAATTTTTACCACGTAAAATGTATTTAAACCAGATTATATTTAATTTTTGTCTCAACAAAATCTGATAGTTCATCTCAAGAGATATTTAGGCTCAAACTCGAGTGCACATATTTATTTCCCCAACAGTAGTCCCGGCGTGTGCAGCGCGCTAGTCGTCTGCTATGCTTGATGAGAATAGTGTAGATATAAAGTTAACGATATTAGTGTAAAGGAAAACAATGTAATTGAGGACTTAACGAACAAAGTACTTGGACAATGTGTAGGTGTAAATTTGTTTCCAAATATTACACATTTCTCAGGATATGAAACAATATGGACAAAAATCATTTTTGTTTCGTACCTAATTAAAATTATTGCTCAAAAATATTCCAATGTTAGAGTTTGCTACTACTGTAAAATAAGTAAGTCTTCACAAAAATAAAATCAGGCAACATCTCAATAAAACTGTAATTTTTCTGGGGCAATAAATTGAGTGTAATTTTACAAATATATTTGGGAAGTTTAATTTAACTTACAGAATTATCTTTAGTTTATCTTGGATGATATTGAAAGCTAATTAGTCCTTAAAAAGTTGTGCTAAACGGTTGAAAATTTTACATAGACAATATATTTGAAAATGTCATTAATATATACAATATTACAGTACAACAGTATAAATTATTAAAACACTGCACGCTAAATGTATAGAAGACGGCCGGCGGTGCAGCGGCGTGGCGCGGAGCAGCGGCAATGGATCCCTTTTGTACCTGATTTTTTAGAAAACCGAACATGATAAAAAATTTTGGTGAATCGTATAGTTAAATTTGGTTATTTATCCACAACTTTCCCGCTGACGAAATTTCTCTGACCAAAAAATAAAAAATTTCCTCGCAATACAACTTTTTCATGTCTGAATTTGAAAAATTAAACTACATAAGTATTAAACATATTTATAACTCAATTACTATCATAACTAATAATTTTATATTAACACCATCGTTTTTCTCAGTATCATATCTACAAGTGTGCAAAATTTCAGAATTTTTTGTCAACTATTAATGTTGTTTATGATCGTGTATTTGTTGCGGGGTTTTTAATGCGAACTGAGCTCGCGGGTCTTGGATTCAGGCTGTATGACGGACCAAGATGGCGGATTTGGCCACACTTTCAGTGCATTTGGTTAAACGCCGTGTCCTCTCTATTATTATTATTATTATTATGTGCTCGCTGGGTTATACCAGTAGCAGTAGCTTACTTACTTAGTTGAGTTGACACCGAGCCAATAACTTAGTTTGTACACTTTACAAATAAAACTAATAATAAGAGTTAATGACAAGCATCTTTGTGTTCAATAATTTCAATAACGAAAATTCAGATGTTTTCCTTTATTTTTGTTGGTACACAACTACACAAGCCTTGATTAGCAATGTGTTTAAAAATCTTGTGAAGCTACAGTTTCACCCTAACCTTTGAAAGAATAACCTCTACTTAATCTAAAAACTCAGTAGGTCTATTTCTTTTTCTTTTGGCTTTGGTTGGACTAGGTAAGTTACAAGGATGATCAAACAAAAATTTAATCTCAGTCTCCCAAGCTGATTTAAGTTAGAGCTAGGCCTAATGTTAGGGGATATGGTAATTATAAATCACTTTTGAAACTTTAAGAGTAATATGCCTAACTTAGGTAGGCCAAATAGTTTAGGCCTACAGGCCTGTCATAGGCATCTACTGGTACAGCTAAGCTAACACAAGCTTTGATATTAGTATAGTTGATGGGTTTAAAGATGTTTGTGTGGCCTAACACTATCTTAGGCCTAGGCTATTAACTTTAGGAATATTATGCGATATTTTGGTTATTCAACAGGGTTAGCTTAGTTGACGGAGTTGACGTGTCATCTACTGGAAGCGAATTAGAAGAGTAGCGAATTAAAGGAATGAGAGTGAAAAATGTCTTTAACATCAACATAATCAATACTCTTTGACCTCAGTATCTATGCAAAACTGCAAAGAAAAATTATAAAACAGCTGCGTCTAGATTTTGGCTTTAGTTAAGCCTAATTTATTTTGAAACTTTAGTTCAAAAGACGTTGTTAAGAGTAAGGTTGTGATAAAAATCACTAGCTCAAGAAATATATAAGTACCGTAGCTAGGAAAGTAGCTAATATTCCGCTACAACTACTTAAAAAAAGTAGCTCGCTACTGCTCTAGCTACAAAATTTGAAAAGTAGCGTAGCTACAGCTAACGCTACAAAATAAATAGCGCGCTACTGTAGCGTCGCTACTTCCCAACACTGCTCAGGACTATAGGCTTATCATCGTATACTTAATATTCATTAATATCTGTCAAATTTGTATTTTATCTATTTAATTGGTCTATTCATATAGGTATTTTGAAAATAATCCTTCCATAAGATAGATAAATACCGGTACATAGGCCTAACTCTTCACTGAGCTAAGTGGGTTATATTGGGTATTTTCACCAGTGAAGTGGGAAAAATTAAGTTACCAAAGTGAATTAGAAACCATGTTTATTCAAGTTATTCACTATTTATGAAGTACAAGTAATAAAGTGATGTTGAGATGCCTCAAGCATGTGTTGTTCCTGTTTGCAAATCAAATTATAGAAATAATGTAAAAGATGAAGGAGTTACTAGGGGTACACTTCCATATCTGTTGGCACTAATATCGAACGAGTACTTTTTATCGATATATCGAACAATCGACATATCGATAAAAAGTACTCATTCGATAGTTTAATTAGTTAGGTTAGGTTATATATCGATTAATCGATATATCGATAAAAAGTACTCGTTCGATATAAAAAGTACTCATTCGATATTAGTGCCAACAGATATGGAAGTGTACCCGTTACTAGTACATTTTCTTTCCCGAAGAATCCTGAATTGTGTAGGGCGTGGATTCGTGCAATTTCTAGAACAGATTGGGAACCCAATGCAAGCTCTGTGGTATGTATTAAACATTTTCATGATGATGATGTAAGTTTGACTGAAAAGTTCCAAGACATAAATGGGGAATGGCATGAAAGGCGTAAATCTCATCAACTCGATCCATTCCAACGGCAGGTTTTTACTATCTGAAATAAGAAGAAAAAATATTCATAGAGCATTAATTAATTAACAATTACAGTACTAGAAATTATCTATAAAGTATAAAAGAGGATGTTTGTATATATATTTGGCAGTGATAAACTCAGACACCACTGAACCGATTGCCACGAAACTTGGTACATACGTGTAGAATTTCATGGAATAGGTTTATACACCATCAATTTCGTGATCCGTCCAATCGGCTTCGCCCCAGTGGCTCTGGAGTTTCCCATGTTAACCTTATGAGAAATGGAATTAATGAATCTTAACAGCTGTTTCAATTAAACAAGTTGGTTCTGTTCTATAATGTTCAATAGCATTAAAGTTACAACACTATTATTTCTTTTACATTTATGTTACGTACTTCTGTCTGTTTTCAGTCTTGAAAATAGTCTGGGGATGACTAGTTTCAGGTCAAAGACCCATTATCAAATCCACATCAAATTGAAGAGTTTATAATCCGACGGAACGGAAGTCTTCATCAAAACGTACATATACACGAGTCGACACAAAGTTCAAATTTTCACACGGATATGAGTACCTAACTTACATTTAAAAAGCTATTTATATTTAGGCCGGCCACATTCCTTCACGCACAGGACAAACCGACACAGGAACTATGGATTTGTCCACAATATTTCTAAGACGGTTTTAGGGGAGGGGGAATTTAACCTAAAACTGCCTAATATTGTAATGAAATCCATAGTTCCTGTGTCTATTTGTTATTGTTTGTCGGACATGATGGAACTGTGGATAGTTCCATCGTGTCCGCCATACAAACTGTGTCGGTTTATCCAGTATGTGAACGAATGTGGCCGGCCAATAGCTTTTTAAATGTATATAAATGTGCTTGTATCTATGTGTAAATTTGAGCTTTATGTGTCGACTCGTATATATACATTTTGATGACGACCTCTGTCGCCCAGTTTGATGTGGATTTGATAATGGGTCTTTGACGCGAAGCTAGTCATCCCCAGACTAATTTTTTAAGACTGAAAATGCGGGATGAGGTACGTAAGTTTTATACGGTTTATAGACTTGTTCTTTCACTAAAAAATCCCAATAAAGACTTAATACTTTTGAAAATAAAATATTAAGAAGCGTTTTTTGGACCAATAAAAGATAAGTTTTGTGGAGAATAAAAAAATAGGGGGTTGAGGGAATTTCATAGAGAACTAGAGAACTAGATAGGTACCTATTGTGGTAGTGGCAAGTAGAAGGTTGAGATAGCTGAGCCACATTCAAAAGACAGGTGAGAGAGAGATAGTAAAGCATGTGATAAGAGGTACTATGGAGGATAGGAGAGCATTGGGAAAAAGTCCTAAGGAGAATGGGAGCAAACCTAGAGCTGGCAGAAGATGGAGGATCCTGGAGGCACATGGTTGGCGACGCCAAAGACCGCCTAGGGTTTAAATGGCCACAGGAGTGCGTAAGTAAGTAACGGTAGATAATATAACGGCTGTGATCTCGGGTGATATTCATGATGACATTATAATAAATTATAAATCCACACTAAGACAAAAATATTTCTACTGAAGCTAATGGTTACCCGTCTCAGGTAGGCTAATCTGTTAGATATTATATAAGTTAGGTAGGCTATATCATTTACTGTTATGTCTATTGAGCTATTATGAATGTTTAGTCTATGTTTAACATTAGACAACAATGTAGCAATGAGTTTAATAGATCACCACTAGTGATATGGGTAGATATTATTAACTAATTAATTAGGCCTAAATAAAACTTTTTTTAAATAAAAACTATTTTGAATTACACTTTTAATTAGCCTGCAAGCTGTAAATAATTAAAATGCAGTTGATTTTTTTTTATTCAAATTTTTAGTTTAATTGGTTAATAATAGTTACCCAGATCAAACAACTGATTTTTCCGTTCCCTTTAAACAATTGTAAAAAACAAGATTGCATCTTTATTACATTGAAATTCAAACAAGTTTATGCATTTCAACTCACTCTTTCATTTAGGCTGATACCAATAATTGGCAAAGCCATGTAGGTACGGATGTAATTTCATTAACACGTTCGCTGCTACGGACGTTCCGGAACGTCAGCCGGGCCACGGCGCCAGGAGCTAAGAACGTTCCAGAACGTCACCGTTCATTGTTGTTTAACGTTGCTATGGATAAGCCAGCACGTCACAAGCGTTCTATATTTCTTTGCAGCTCGTACGGACGTACTTTTCTGACAATAAAAAATATAGTTTCCCAAATCACCACCAGGGTCGTTTGGAACAGGGCTTTGTTTTACCTCTTTCCTGCTAGATAGCGACACTACTTTACTGACTGTAACCTGGGTAGTGCTGCTATCTATCAGAATCACTTAGTACTATATCCAAAGCCAGTTTTATTGCAGAACATTGCCATCCAGTATAACTACTGTTGTTTTTACTGTAATTCAGTGTATCGGTGGCAATGTCACGCAGCAGCCGAGCGTTAGTTCAGCAACTGGCGCCGTCCCGCCATCTAGCGCTCAGCAGCGAACGTGTTAAACTTACCAACATTTGCATTTGTTTGGTTTAGCCTTGCTCGGTCCCCATATTTTTTTCTGAATGGAAAAATGTTGTAGCAATTAGTTCAACCACCATCCTCCTAGTTACTACTGTAGTTACATCTGCTGTAGATGTACTGTTGTAGAAATCTTTCACCCATGCTGTTCAGCAATCCACCTGGTAAAACATAAATGAGTTAGATATCTCTACTACATACATTGACATCCAGACAAATTTTTTTTTTTTTTTAATTCAACTCTTTCATTTAGGGCTGATACCAATAATTGGCGAAGCCATTTAGGTTAAGATTTAATTATCCTACATTAAAACTTACCAAGAGATGCACTTGTTTGGTTTAGCCTTTCCAAAATCTGCCTTGCTCGGTCCCCCAATGAAAAAAAAACTTTGTGGCAAGCAGGTTAACCACCATCCTCCTAGTAGACATAGGCCTACAGCTGTTGGATGTCTTGCTCAGCAATTCAACCTGGTATACATATGAGTGAGTTACACTAAAATGGAGCCATGGTACTTTATTACTGGCACTTGGTTGCATTTGTTTAAACCCAAAGCGTATATGTAGCAGACAAGAGTTTTCCATTTAAGTTATGCGTAGGCTATACAGAAATTATAAGCTTATATTTACAGTACTTAATATTTTATTTTTATTATTTTTTGTAAGAGGTTGGCGGCCTCTTTTATCCAAAAAGACTACAGATCTGGCTGTGGAACGTATCTAGCAAAGCAAGGGGTGAACCGGTACAGTACGAAGGTGAACTGTACTGATAAATTTTAGTGGCAGTAACCAGGATCCGGACCCACGGCATCGCTGCCTTAGGCCCGAAGTCCGGACGCTACCAACTGAGCCACCGACTCACCAAAGACTGTTGATACTGAACAATGAAAAATTATTGTAGTTGTAAATTTGAAGTGACCTTAAGTTAAATAACGGAAATGTAGCATAAAAGATGGACAGAGTGCAAATCTGTATACTTAAAAAATATCTTTAAGAAATCGACATAAACCGACAATAAGTTATCATACTAAGTAGTTACATAGACTATAACTTACTAAAATATTTGCTAACTTATAACCTACCTAGAGTCGAAGAAATACAATATTTAGACTTCACAAGTGAGTATTGTGAGTCTACTTGTTTAGTCTTGCAAATAGCCATTTTAGTTTTATGTAAGTTATTTAAGTCAGTCACTAACCAATAGCCTGCATGCCTGTTAACTTAATTCCCTAAGCATTAAATGATCATGGTAGACTAAATAGGTTATCAGTTAGATGTCCACAGTGAAGCCTAGCCTAGGCACTCTCTGATACTACCTTGTCTAGACAAAAATTTAGAGAAACTAACTATAACTATGTAATGCTTCTATAGGCTATGTCTTGTCTAACCCACGAATACAGTACTAACTTAACTTAGAACAGGAACAGGCCAATGATAGGCTTTAAACGAACAGACACGGTATGGATCAGAAATTTAATGTCTATGTTAATGCTGTAAAGTTAAGACAATAGGTCAGTAGCACGAATACCTTCGTGAGGGTCGTTTTGTTGTTCAATTATTACTTTAAAAAATGCATTTAAATTTATCTGCGTTCAACTTTATGAAGGGATTAATTGACGCAATTTATGTCTGTTACTTTCAGATCTATGTTGGATATATTTATAAAGACAATGCCTAGACCAAACTACAAAATAGGCTTACTTAATAAGTTAATAAATACATGGGCAATTAGACAATAAGATTAGAACTGAAATCTTAGCTGGTTCTTTAATCTGTAGGCTAGTTTTTAGTTTTTGTACCAAAATCAAACTTACGTATTGTTGCTGATACAACTCGATTCTTCAAATGATTTAGAGAAATAATAATTAACTTAGCATATTTCGTGAAAATAATGTACTGTACAAGTTGAACAACAACAGACTACTTGATTATACAACTGTACTTAACTTACTTGTCTGGTCTGCATTCTGCAAGTAGCAAGTGCAAAGTGTGTAAAAATATTAAAAGTGCGTGTCGGCGTCGGCTGTCGGCGTCGGCTGCTTCCAATCCAAACAAAATGTAAACAACACAGTCACGTGACACAGCACCACTTGCGACGTTGCCAGTTCGATGGCCGCGGCCTGTAGTTAAAGGCGGCCGTGGCCTAGGCCTAATTCGTGTCCAATTGCAATTCCCAACTGACTAGACCGAACCGAACCGACCTAGACCGGGACCGACTACCGAGTACTGACTGTGACTGGGACTGAGACAATTGAGGCATGATTGAGAAAGAGAATTGAGATTAAGACAAACCCGATAATGATGTTAGTTATTTAGGCCGGGGCCACACTTGTAACTTTTAACCAGCGAAACAGTTTTTTCCGTTTTCACGTGCGACCCACGTAAAACAGTTTTACCGTGGCCACACTCGTCTTACGAGATAGATTTTTCGGGCAAACCAGTGAGACTGATAGAGCATGCCACACTGGCAACAAAAATCGTCCGTGTCAGTGTTCCGACTCCCCCCCCTCCACGTACTAAATCAGTCAGGTTTAAACTAGAAACGTCCGTGGAAAAAATTCAGCGAGATAAGATGAGTGTGTTCACTCCCATATGCCACAATGCCCCGCGACTAGTTTTACGTGCAACGCCCGTGGAATGTTAGTAGAGAATACACGTGCAATTCCGTTTGTCAGTCTCGCTGCCAGCATATAATAATCATCTTATAATTAATTTTAATTATAAGATTAATTTTTTATTATAAAATTAATTTTAAAATTTGTTATAAAATTAAACTGCCATAACCTAACCAAACCAACTAAACTTGCTGATAATATAAAAAATATATAAGTTAAAGTATAAATCTAATGAAGGTTTACTTATTTAAAAAAAATAGCTCTGTTCATAAATAAAATTATAAATGCCTCAAATTCTAACAAAAGATTCGCAATCTAAGCAAAGCCTTGGACAAAAAGTTAGTGTCGCAGGTGGGATTCGAACTGGGGACCTCCAGATCACGAGTCCGAGACGCTATCAACTACGTCACGAACACCGATGGAATCATATCGTCTCGTTACGGTAATGGTGTTCCCTAAAGAGCAGAGTGACGTCACGCCCCCCCCCTCACTCCTTCTCTAAAGAGGTTCTCTCCCATCAGTTCCTGACAGGGGAAACCAAGACGCTATACATTAGTCAGCCTCAGCAGCCACAGCCATTGGTGTTCGGGTTTGTGGTGTAGTGGATAGAGTACTAGACTGTTGTTCTAGAGGTGACCAGATCGAATACCTCCGGTGACTCTAACTTTTTGTCTAAGATTTTGCTTAGAATGCGATTACTTACTGTATTACCCCAAGGAACTCAGAACTTCTTTTTAAAAACATTCCAAGAACAAAATAATAAAGAAAGCTAAGCTAGGTCTAATCAAACAAGTGATTTATCAGTGGCCAGTTTTTTTTTCGTTTGCAATAAGTGATCAGTCAGGTTGTAGACGATTGTCCCACGAACAAACTTGAGAAAGCTCAGATGACTTACGTAATAGTGACGTCAGCTCTGGTCAGGGGTAAAATTCCAGGATGTAAGGTACCAACTTTTAAGGGTTGCGTGGGCCGAGCGCCGGGTTGGGCGAGCGCCACGCGGACTACCTGACTATGTTGTGACAGTGAACCGGATAAATCAAGTGTACACTTAAACTTGTCAAAGACATAAGACGTTTATTTGTGATTTTTACATGCATGGACAAGTCAAAGTTGTTTTCATACAATTGTATGCGTCACATATTCAATCTAGCCTTTGGTTATACAACTGTGTAAACGCATGGCCAACACTTTCATTTAGGCTAAAGTAGACAAGTTGCATCTTCATCTATGTTACAGTATTTCTTTTTTTACATTCATAACACTTTTGTAAACGTAAATATTTAAAATCTAATTATGGCCACCCTCTAATCGGACACGTTAATTTATTGAGATCAGAAGTGTCTATTCACTATATAAAGTTTAGATAGTATAGAAATGTGACACTATTCTGGTTCTATTGATTCTTGTGATATGGCAACCTCTCTCAAGGATGTTAAATTTTGTCCATGCTTCGTTCACAAATTCAGGCTGTATAAAAGTCCTTGGAGCCTAGACCTTCTAATTCGGTAAACAATTAAAAAAACTACAAAGAAAATTTGAATCTCACGGTGTAATAGGTAGTTAAATTATAATCACTCTGGTGTTTTAAAAATAATTTGAGATGGTAAATAACTCTTCAGAAATTAACATTACTCTTATAGCAGGCAAATCCGGCCGTAAGCTTAAATGGATTCCCTTGGAAAACAATTCAAAACTATAAAAGAACATTTATAATATCACAGTTCACTATATATTTAAATTGCAACTCTTCAGTAGCTGTTTAAAATTATCCAAGATGGCCGCTAGCCTCCAAGGACTCATATGAGAAACGACTCCCACTCCATCCACTCAACCTCGTCCTGATTTTGAAACGTCTGACAGCTGAAAGTGGGGAGAATCCTTCAAAGAACAGAATATACAGCATTAATGGCCCAAAAACACATTTTGCCAACCGTCGTCGTCGTCGTCGTCGTCGTCGTCGTCGTCTACATTTTTACATTTTACATATTTACATGTTACATTTTAACATTTTTTATGATCAAGTCTTTCCCTTGCAACTGACCTGGTAGCCTCGTCTAGTATGAGGATGGATGGGATTTTCAGTAGAGCGCGGGCGATAGCTATCCTCTGTTTCTGGCCCCCAGACACGGTAACTCCTCTCTCCCCCAGAATGGTACTGTAGCCATCAGGGAACTGTCGGATAAAACTGTCAGCATTGGCCAGCCCAGCAGCCTCGTACACCTGTGACAAAGATTAATTAAATTAGTAATACCAAACTAGTGACAGGTAATACAAACAAAGTAACATAGAATCAAACCAGCTACCTTCTAATTACAAGGCGAGTACAGCAGTACTATAATCACTCAACCACCAAGCTGACATAAAAACTTTTACTCATACCAGTACTCATAACGTTTTTAATGTGTTACATTTTAACAAGTTACCTTTAAGCATGTTACATTTTAAAAGGTTACAATTTTACATGTTACATTTTTACATGTTACATTTTAATATGTTACATTTTAACACGTTACATTTAAGCATGTTACATTTTAAAATGTTACATTTTAACTCGTTACATTTTAACATGTTACATTTTAACTTCTTATATTTCCACATGTTACATTTTTACATGTTACATTTTAACATGTTTTACGATCAAGTCATTCCCTTGCAACTGACCTGGTAGCCTCGTCTAGTATGAGGATGGATGGGATTTTCAGTAGAGCGCTAAGAGCGCTTGTAGCGGCGATAGCTATCCTCTGTTTCTGGCCCCCAGACACGGTAACTCCTCTCTCCCCCAGAATGGTACTGTAGCCATCAGGGAACTGTCGGATAAAACTGTCAGCATTGGCCAGCCCAGCAGCCTCGTACACCTGTGACAAAGATTAATTAAATTAGTAATACCAAACTAGTGACAGGTAATACAAACAAAGTAACATAGAATCAAACCAGCTACCTTCTAATTACAAGGCGAGTACAGCAGTACTATAATCATCAACCACCAAGCTGACATAAAAACTTTTACTCATACCAGTACTCATAACGTTTTTAATGTGTTACATTTTAACAAGTTACCTTTAAGCATGTTACATTTTAAAAGGTTACAATTTTACATGTTACATTTTTACATGTTACATTTTAATATGTTACATTTTAACACGTTACATTTAAGCATGTTACATTTTAAAATGTTACATTTTAACACGTTACATTTTAACATGTTACATTTTTACTTCTTATATTTCCACATGTTACATTTTTACATGTTACATTTTAACATGTTTTACGATCAAGTCATTCCCTTGCAACTGACCTGGTAGCCTCGTCTAGTATGAGGATGGATGGGATTTTCAGTAGAGCGCTAAGAGCGCTTGTAGCGGCGATAGCTATCCTCTGTTTCTGGCCCCCAGACACGGTAACTCCTCTCTCCCCCAGAATGGTACTGTAGCCATCAGGGAACTGTCGGATAAAACTGTCAGCATTGGCCAGCCCAGCAGCCTCGTACACCTGTGACAAAGATTAATTAAATTAGTAATACCAAACTAGTGACAGGTAATACAAACAAAGTAACATAGAATCAAACCAGCTACCTTCTGATTACAAGGCGAGTACAGCAGTACTATAATCACTCAACCACCAAGCTGACATAAAAACCGTCGTCGTCGTCGTCGTCGTCGTCGTCGTCGTCGTCGTCGTCGTCTTCGTCGTAGTCGTCGTCGTCGTCGTCGTCGTCGTCGTCGTCGTCGTCGTCGTCGTCGTCGTCGTCGTCGGCGTCGGCGTCGTCGTCGTCGTCGTCTAAATTTTTACATTTTACATATTTACATGTTACATTTTAACATTTTTTATGATCAAGTCTTTCCCTTGCAACTGACCTGGTAGCCTCGTCTAGTATGAGGATGGATGGGATTTCCAGTAGAGCGCGGGCGATAGCTATCCTCTGTTTCTGGCCCCCAGACACGGTAACTCCTCTCTCCCCCAGAATGGTACTGTAGCCATCAGGGAACTGTCGGATAAAACTGTCAGCATTGGCCAGCCCAGCAGCCTCGTACACCTGTGACAAAGATTAATTAAATTAGTAATACCAAACTAGTGACGGGTAATACAAACAAAGTAACGTAGAATCAAACCAGCTACCTTCTGATTACAGCAGTACTATAATCACTCAACCACCAAGCTGACATAAAAACTTTTACTCATACCAGTACTCATAACGTTTTTAATATGTTACATTTTAACAAGTTACCTTTAAGCATGTTACATTTTAAAAGGTTACAATTTTACATGTTACATTTTTACATGTTACATTTTAATATGTTACATTTTAACACGTTACATTTAAGCATGTTACATTTTAAAATGTCACATTTTAACACGTTACATTTTAACATG